TTCAATTACAAAGCGTTTAAAAGCAAATAGTCACATGCTAATTCGGATTAAACTTAGACAGTTTCTAGTTACACTGAGCTATTGTTAGTCGCGTGAAGTTCTATTCTTTCTCGAAGAATAGGCAAATGTTGCGGGTGTCTGAGCAGGAACAATAACCAGGAAAGGGATATACACGGGGGATTTCTTGATTGACACCCAATTTAGGTCATTTTTCACTTATTTGCTTTTTCACACCTTAAGTGCTAAATTTTTAGGTCAGGGACACCCAACGATGGTTTTCTCCTATTGTAAATAGATTGAAAACACTCTTTAGGCTATCCAGAGTACTTTAAGATATCTAGAAATGCATTCTTAGCGGTGCTATAAAATTTGTATCTGTTCCTTCATACTAGGGGAACTTTAGTCTTTTCGAAATGACAAGGGCTTGAGAATTTTATCTCCGAAAATTTGAGAAAAAATTTAGGGTATAACGAAAGTGAGACATTTTCTGATTCTTAACGCCATCGCATTTTTGAATCGGACAATCTTGGGTTCCCTTTTGTGTACAAAAAAATAGCATGACTTGGGAAGAGAAATGTGAAAATTAAGCTTCAGAAAATCGTAGTGAATTTATACGACATGCTTCGAAAATTGTACATGAATGGAACGGTCATATAGAAATTTTAGCCGTCCTCAAGTAATAGAAAATTCTAGGCAATATTTTGATTCTCCGAACAGACATTTTACGGAAAAGAGTCGTTGGGTGCCCCAGTTAGGTTCTCGAAGTCAATTACAGAAAGTAATTGCCTTTGACTGATTTGCAGTCATCAATGTTGCGGCTCAAAATAGTCGACTTTCTTTGTTCAAGCAAACAAAGCTGATTCGGGTTGTGAGTTCCAGTCATCCATTACTTTTTCTTTTAAGTTTACCGACTCTTTTCAGTTTGTCCGCAGAACGTGAAATGTGTTCTGATCTGTAGCATCAATATTAAAATGAAAAAATGATCTACCTATCTCCTCATTGATTGCATTCTACGAAGCAACTATTCTTGCCAGATCCAGATTCAACGGAGAAGCTGCAATACGTAAGTACTCAGATGGAAGATGGTTTTCGCAATTAAGAACGAATGTCGCTAAGGATTGAGCAAAATTGGAAATGGTCAAACAAAACCTTCTCTCATACAGATGAAACTATACTCATTGTGGCATTTGTTTGACTTCTAACAAAAACCTGCACTGGGCATCAGGGGGAAAGTTTAGGAAAAAATTGCATTTTTTGGGACAATTTTCTCCCTGAAAATTGGAGTTTTGTTAGGTAAATATTTCAGAAAGCAGACTAACAGTTAAAAATCTGTTTAGATGATAGCAAAATATCATCCTTCCTCTCAATAAAAATGTTATCAATTTTTCTCTAGCCCCCCCTGACGACCCCTGTTCATTGTCATTTACAAGGGGGGGAAACCTTTTTTGACAAGGTTTAAAAACAGACATTTTTGAACCCCTTTTTTTTCTTACTAGCACTATTTAGATCAAAATTGAACAGGATTTAAAGATTTCACCCTTTGTGAACCATTTTATGCTTAAAAATCCGCGGGCACTCGGTACATATTTGCATGCCAATCAAATGAAAATGCATACCTGAGACAAAATAGTAAATTTTCGCAACTTTTGTTCGCCGCTATCTTTCTTTTAAATCATGTCTTTGGGGCGATGTGAAGCAAGAACGTCGGATGGTTCCTATAGATTGCATTCCTATACGTTTTACAGTCAGTTATTGAGCAGATTAACGATTTTTGGTCTACAAAAACAGGCATCGTGTGGTTGGCTGCTAATTTATGCAAATTACTACCCGCTTTATAACTTGGCAGGAAAATCTAATTCGACGTTTTCCAGCAAAGTAAATCGCTTCGATGGGGTTATTAATAGATAACTGACACATTACAGACCATTAACAAGGCAATCATTGTTAGAAACATTTCAGAGCCAAAGTCAAATCACACACAACGTCACGGTTCGTTTAGGTCTCCTCCACCATGTCGTCGCATTCAAATCGCTTCCCGTTTATACGAGAGGAAATAAGTCGCGGCTTATTCGGGCCGAGGTTTACATAAGCCGCGAAAGGAACCATTTATACGAGTACGTCTTATATAAGACGCGAACTGCTGGGATAGTTCGCGGCCAGACCGGTCCAATGATGACGTAGTTTGTTTTGGTGCCTAGCGTAATCACAGGTAACCCAGGCTCTGTGATAGTACCACAGTACGGTTCCAGTAAAATTACAGTGTTTGTATGGGGTAAAAAAATCATCCTAAAATTTCTAGGAAATACTAAATAAAGATCAATGAAACTTACTCTGCAGTTAATTGTTGTTGTCCTTATTGCTCCAACGAAGTTTCGTGATAATTTGCAGTAATTTGTTCAAATTCACTCTATCTACAATAATAATATACAAGGTAGGAAACACGAGGTGCCATTTTCGCCGACATGCTCTCATTCAACACAACTTTTTCCACGAAATTCGAACTCCAACGGAAAATAAACATGCCAGGATCGTAGAAATAGGATAGCAGCAGATATAGAAACCAGATATAGAAACCAATGAAGACTTTCCCAGATAGAAGAATATAATCCAAACACAGACTTGGACAAACTCGAAGAAAAATATAATCCAAACACACCGAGAATCCGCTTTCGCCGAACATCATTTGCCGGGCCAGAAAAACGCTTGATAGAAGGCAATTGTTCAAGAAAATGAAGCCTGGCCTGAATTTAAATGGCTGTAATATAATCACGGAGTTAAAAGGTAGATGACTAAGGAATGAAATACTGTTGAAACTAATGAACTCTCAAGCGGGCTAAAAACTATCGTAAATAAACGGTGAACTCTCGAGCGAAACTATCGTAACAAACTAATGTCAAAAATTATAGAGAAAATTGCGACAGAATATGAATTGCGATAACTGAGACGAATGTGAAAGGCACGTGCACTAGTAAACAAAGAACTAGCGCGATTAACATATTTAGCGATTAATGCGGCAGTAACACGCCGACTTCTTGTCAATACAAGTGAACGTTCTATCGGTTAAATATGTGAATCATCGAGATACACCTCTCTTTGAATTTGGTCCTGTTGTACAAATGCCTCGGTAAGAGCCAAAATTCACTCATATCTTTTGCTCGTTTTAAGTTTTGTAAATCCTCCTTCGTTGTTCTTTCCTTTGCCCTTATAACCTTGCCCTATTGATGGTTGATAAACTTTCTGAGGACCAGCGCCAGGAGCTGAATATAGTTCGAGAGGAAAATAATCTCTTTATAACAGGCCATAGTGATTGGCTAGGAAGAACAATTGCCTTCTATCAAGTATTTTTCCAGCAGGGGAGGGTGGCCTTGGGCAAATGATGTATCGGTCCCTAGAAAGGTCACCCCAGGACCCCCGGGATGGAATTTTTTTGTACAGTGCTCAGGATTCATTTTCTTGGCCGCGCGTTGATCTGGCCCGGCTGCTTCGGCGAGCGTATTCTCGGTGTGTTTGGATTATATTCTTCGAGTTTGTCCAAGTCTGTGGGATTCGTTTCTCTATCTGGGAAAGCTTCATTGGTTTCTATATCTGCTGCTATCCTATTTCTACGATCCTGGCATGTTTATTTTCCGTTGGAGTTCGAATTTCGTGGAAAAAGTTGTGTTGAATGAGAGCATGTCGGCGAAAATGGCACCTCGTGTTTCCTACCTTGTATATTATTATTGTAGATAGAGTGAATTTGAACAAATTACTGCAAATTATCACGAAACTTCGTTGGAGCAATAAGGACAACAACAATTAACTGCAGAGTAAGTTTCATTGATCTTTATTTAGTATTTCCTAGAAATTTTAGGATGATATTTTTACCCGATACAAACACTGTAATTTTACTGGAACCGTACTGTGGTACTATCACAGAGCCTGGGTTACCTGTGGCGTAATTTGCGAAAAGCGAAACGATTGGCTTTGGTCTAAAAAATCGCCATATTTTGACTCTAGTTTACGTTTTTTCAAATTAACATTTCGTTCAAGATTAGCGTTGGGCTGTTGCGAAACTTGTCGGAAACCTCGACGAAAAGTTGGTCAGCGATCAATCGAGTGGTTTGAAAGACATGTTCCAGGGATGCATGGAAGAAAACGTCAGTTTTAAAATGAATTCCCGTTTTTTCATTCTTTGTCGCGTTTATTCCAATTTGCTGAAAATGGCAAGTGTAGGCGAATTTCCCTCGAGTTGATTTCTTGAGGACCGCACTCAAGTTTAGAGAGAGAAAAAGAGATTCGTCGTCGCTTGTTTACGTCCTCCATAAAACTTGCAATTAGGCATTTTCACGTCGTAGTCGCGCAAGGACGGTAAAGAAATGTACAAAAAAGCGTGATGCACCTGCAAAGTTGTTGTTTTGCGTAATAAACCTATTGCTTTTTTGACGTCCTCTTTGCCGTTGCCGTCGTCGTTGCTAAAGCTCCGGCCTGCTTTCCCGCCACTGCAGCACGCGTCTCTCAGCCGTGAAGGTCTGGGATATAATTGAAAACAGAGCAGGCGTTCGAGCAGGCGCAGCAATCGTTCACGGCTTCAGCAGGCCGCGGACAACGTTTTAGTGCATTTATACGAACACTTTCACGTCCGCGGCCTGGATAAGCCCAACCCAAAACTCCTCGGCCAGGATAAGCCGCGGCTTGAACTAGCCGTGGGTTGAATAAGCCGTGAACGTAGATTTTGTGCCATTTATACGGGGTGTTCGCGGCTTACATATAAGCCGGGGCCAGAGTAAGCCGCGGCTTACATAGGAGGCGAAAGGAACTATTTATACGAGTGTGGCTTACATAAGACGCGAACTGCTGGTATAAATCGTTCACGGCTTAGTCCGTGGCCACTGATGACGTAGTTTGTTTTGGTTTTGAGTGAGCAAGCAAAAAATCGAAGCGACTAGCTTTGGTCAGGAAAATCGCTATATTTGACACTGTCGTTTTCTTTTCAAATTAACATTTCGGTCAAGTTTAGAGCAAGGCTGTTGAGAAACTTGTGCGGAAACCTCGTCGAAAAGTTCGTCAGCGATCAGTCAGTCGAGTGGATTAAAAGAGATGTTCCGGCGATGGATGAGGTGGAGAAAATGGACGAAACTTCCGGCTCTCTCGTGAAGCACGTCATTTTCCCCCCAATGCAGCGCGCGTCTCTCGGCCGTGACGGTCTGGTATGTAATTGAAAAATTACAAAGCATTCATTTTCTACAGCCATCCACAATTAATTCTGCGTTTTAGAGTATTCCATATATTCCATATTTAGAATATTCCGTGTATTCCGCCATTCCGCCGTCATTCCGTCCGTCCTTCATTACACTGCATGAATAGCGTCACACCCGATATTTGTGGTTTAAAGCGAAACTGAAACAAAAGAAATTCATTTTTGAATAGTACTCGATAACCTCTACTTGGGAGATAAAAATCGGCCAATTTTATTTTTTAGCCGGAAATCATCGGTCGTTTGTTAGGCGCAGGGTCTGTTAAGGCAGTCAGCTCTGTTCCTCTAGTTGTTGTTTTTGTGTTAGCAGTTGTTGTTTGTGGTTTAACCTTGATGTTTAGGGGACCTTTTCAGGCGATTCTGTATTTTTTTTCAACTGGTTTTGGTACTGATTCATTCATAGTTCCTATTTTGTATTTTTTCTCGATTCTCAAGCTCCCCGTCGTGAAGGAAACAAGGTCGAAGTCCTCGACGATAAATTTCGCAGCTTAAAACTTTTCTTTGTCCCCAAAAAGAAAACAAGCTTTTACATGTCACACGTCTAATCAAAACTGCCATACATGTGTTTGCGTACTGTTCGGAATGAATTACAAAATCTACACTCACAAAAAAAAAGGGATTCCGTTCCGACTTCGTCGGCGCCTTGTAAAACGCCTCTGCAAATTAAAGCTTGCTATATCATTTTGTTTGTAGTCGCCACGCTGGTTTTGCTGAATGAGAACAGAAGTTAAAGATAACTGGTTTGCCGTGGTAGATAGGTTTACAGCTAGTAGCATGAGGATGATATTTGTCGGTCAAACAGGCTGGAGATGCATTTTGCTGATTTCGGGGAGAGGCTTTACGATTTCGTGAAGAAATGTAAACATCCTTGTCTTATTTCGTCGCTGGTCCATATTTTCAAGCCATGCCGCTTATAACTTTCTGGCTCTATATGTCTTCCCAGGGTTGCATTTTATAGCAGCATAGTTACTTTATCGTTTATACCACAAAACGATTTCTTTCTGTCGCAGACATACATGTATAGGCGTTCCAAGTTTTTAACCTTGAATTCTCTGATTCCATATTTGAGCAAACTAACTTTCCGTGCTTCTGATTGGAGGCTACGTTGGCTAAAAAACCCCAGCCTGGCTCCAAACAGATAAGGGGAAGTTAGACGCTTCGAGGTTATATGCTTCTGGCACAACACACACTCACACACAGGGTTTCGTCTTGTCGAACCATAACAAGAAAAACTAAAAAAACTTTACGTCCCTAGAAATATTACAAAATTAATAAACATTTTGTTATATTTCAGAGTCCTTTTCCAGAAAGGAATCTTCTATCTGGCATGAGTTCATATTTGGGTATAAAATTCTCGTACAAGATACTCAAATCATCTGAAGAAGTAGAAGATGTCGAGGACATTGTCTACGATCCCCATAGTAACGTAAATGATAAGCAAAGTTCAGGGACGGCGAGTGGTAAAGCTTCAACATGGAAAGCTATTGCGAACATGACCAGTTTTATACAGGGCGCAGGTGCAATGGCTTTGCCTTACGGGGTGATGAAAGGAGGTATTGCAACTCTCATTGCTTTTCCTTTATTTGCTCTAATTCACTGGTACACTGGCAGTGTCATGATAAACTGTATTTATGGCGACGAACAAGAGAAGCAATTATCAGAATATAGCACGCCCCAACCGGGTAAAAGGAAGGGGGCCATGGGTAAGAGGATATTACGAGTTCGCAGCAGTTTCAGTGACTTGGGAGAAGTGTTATGGCCAAGCCATGGACGCACTCTTATCGAACTGCTCCAAGCTGTTGATTTGTCGATTTTTGCAGTCAGTCATCTCATTGGAAGTGGATCCCTTATGACGTACGCATTTCCCACATTAGGGCTCAGTGAAACTTGGTGGACCTTTATAATTGCTGTGCTTGTTCTACCATCTACCTTTGTAAAAGACATTTCGTGTGTGGCTTGGCAAAGCTTACTGGGTGTAGCTTCTTTGGCATTTATGGCAGGTGCACTCGCTTGGTTCACCGTTGCCAATTCTTCGTGGTTCAACTTCAAACATGTACTCTTTTGGGATACCGAGGGTTTTCTAGTTGGGATGGGAATAGTCCTTTACAGCTATTGCGTCTATTCAATTGTGATCCCAGTGGAAGAAACCATGTCTGATCGTTCAAAATTTCGTTCAGCTCTCGGGATTTCACTTCTCTCAACTACTATTTTTAAAGTTTTGTTTGGCCTTTTTGGATTTTTGTGTTTCCTTGATAAAACTGATGAAGTGATTGGTAACAATTTTCCAAGTGGCCTTCTCAGGCAATTGATCAGCGTTGTATACGTCATGTACGTTGTGTTCAGCTATATCCTGATTATCTACCCTGTATTGCAGTTTATTGATGGATGTCAATTGAAAAGTGAAGAGGTTTCCTTTATTCCCTCATTCATGTGGATCCCTACAACAAGATTTTTCGTGGTATTAACCACTTCTGTGATAGCAGTAACAATTCCACATTTTGCGTTACTGACAGCTTTTATAGGAAGTTTACTTTTGCCTTGTCTTGAGTATGTAATACCATGTTTAGTTCATTTAAAGTTAAAATGGGTGAAACTAACACGTCTGGAAATATTTGCAGACATTTCAGTTATCGTATTAGGAATTTTATGGACCGTTCTCTGCGGTTATTCTTCGAGCAAAGCGTTGGTAATTACAATGGTCAAACAGTAGGACATGACATTCAGACGGGATTATGTAGTAGCGTTTAGAAAACAACCAACGCGTGAAGTAGGTGGACAGCTATACAACCCTTGGCTACTGAACGTCGAATACAGGGGTGCGCAAAGATGCAAACAGCATCTTACGTAGCTAAGCTTCCCTCAGAGCTCAAAAAGAATGTGCCAGGATGTGGCGGTCATCTCCTATAGCTGCTGAATAAGACCACTGAAAATAGCCGTTTACAAGCCGTGGCTTTATTAAAAATCTTCGTAACTGGTTTTAAACGGGGGATAAATCCATTGCTAGGGGGCTTACAACTGACCAGAACAGAAAAGGGGCTTCGAATCAAGCTAAAGACAGAGTGCTGATCAAAATGCGCGTTTTTCATTTAGTGGTGGTTATTCATGGGATAAGCTAAAAAGCATAAAAATAAATCGAACTCATTTCAATACAGGTTAGAGATGGAGCTTATAATCGGATTTATTTTTTGATAATTGGTGGGGTTAAATGACCGAAATGGGCTTATGGTCAGTAGTTTACGGTATATTGAATGTTTTAGTCTCCGCTGCTGCGGTCAATGGCGAAGGTGTGAGCTACACCAAGGGAAGGCCTAGATGAACAACACTCGACCGCTGAAAACTGTAGATAAATAAATAGATAAACGCCTTTATTTAAAATCAAAAGTAATTACTGAGGGTATTCCATTGAGGGATTCCTGCTATCAATAGGAGCCCTGATCGAGTTCACTAACTAGACTATAAATAATAATAATAATAATAAAATATATACAATGGTGATGTAACATATGAACTATTAACAAGATCTCCCAAAATTATGTACGTTTACAATAATTATTAAATACCATACTTCCATGGTACTAAAAAAGGTCTCGTGGCCACATCTGTTCTTGTAGCAGGCAGATTTCAAGAGATTGCTCTGGCGGGTTGAACGAGCACAAATGTCGTGGTTAAAAACAAAGTAGTTCTTAAAATACTGAGGGCACCGACCATGTATACATTTCCTTACAGGTTTTAGGATGTGTTCATCGCGCCTGGACGAAAAGCTTTCATCGCAGTGTCACTACTAGATGTCTTTATTACAATTCTCCCTACGCGCTTCTGCAGAGTTTCTAGAATTCCACTGTTTACCTCCCCACAACACGCCCAGACCCCAGCACAATACTCTAAGGTCAGTCTAATCATTGATATGAAAATGGAATTAGCACTATTTGAAGTGATATAACGGCGCACACGTCCTGAAATCAGTGTAGTGGCGAGAAGGAGTTGGAATGGAAACAGACTCCAACAATCGAGTCACAGAAGACTTAAAATACTTGTTGAAGGAATCGGCAATCCGATTTTTATCTGAATTCAAAGTTCCGCCAATAGAAATGTTTGGAGATGCAGCTTTTCTTTCTCCAGGTAAAACTGTTTTCATCGTTCTCCAAAAGGCTTTGTGATCCTTCCCACTCTTATCAATAAGGCGCCTATTATAGGCCGCCTTTGCCTTCTTGTAGCGCTCGACACACGATTTCTATGGCAACGATAACTAGCCCAGTCCTCGGAATGGTTAGTCTTTCTAGCTGTAGAATGAAAGTAGTCCCGCTGACGCATGACTGATTTGATCTCTTTGTTCAGCCAAGGACAAGTATCTATCCCTCTCACACGTCTTTGTATGATGGGTGCGTGAAGATCAGCAAAGGAGACAAAAGCACTTTTGAAATCGTGCCACAGCTGATCCATAGTGGTCACAAGCCCCGGGGGTACTACCATATATGGGCTATATAGGTATGTGCCGCTGTGAAGGGTATGGTTTTCAAGCAGTTTACTCTAGGATAGGGTATATAAATCAGAGCGTTTGGGTCTAGAATAGGGTATCATTTTTCAAGAAACTGATCAGTTGGTTGAAGATTTTATCTAGATTGGGGAAACAGCTACTCTAGGATAGGGGGATTTGGGGAGTTTACTCTAGTATAGGGTAGCAAAATTCAGCTGAACTAGCTCTGGTATAGGTTAAGGGTTCCAGGGTCCCAGCGGCACATCCCCACCCAGAAATTCCTAAAGTGCCTCCCCCGGGTCACAAACCCACTGGGAATATAGGTATTAAGACGTACAACTTTCAGCTGAGATCCTGGCAAAAATGAGCTGGGTTATAATTTGCATAATTCCTGAAAGTTTTAATTTGAGATGGCGCTCTCTGCTAGTTAAGCTTACGGATACGGTAAATCATTTCGTGGTCACTGAGATGCGAAGTTATGACTCCAGAATCTCAAGTCAACAAGCGATTTCGAGTCCTTGGAGATTCTTGTTGGACTGGTGATGAGCTGTTTGAGATCTGAGTATCTGAACAGCGACTTAAGTTGTTGACAGTCAGTATTGTTACGTGTTGATGACATGAGACAGCAATTGAAATCACCGACAAGGATCAACTCTTCATCCTGAGCAACAACAGTGTGGCAAGTATTACAACAATAAACTCGAGTTAAACTAGGGAAATGTTTGTTTTTAAAAAAACTTTTCTACAGTTGAGGTCAGTTTTAATTTCTATGATACACAAAAAAGGATAGAGTCCCAGGTTATTATTAATAGCTGTGATAATATCCATAAATAAGGAATTTCAGTTTGATAATGAAAATATAATTTTAAAAGGAAGCAGCCAGATGTTAGGAAACACCAGCTTATGATTTAATTAATAGTGCTAAAACACTTTTGGTAATTTCCACGTACTTGCTAATTAGACTCATCGCCAATAGATGAGCGTGGGAACTGGTACCTTAAAGATTGGACGGAGCCTGAGCACCTCAGGCATAGCAAGGAGGTATCCATGGCAACCCTACCAGCGGGGACCCCCCCCCTGCATGCAGCCGCCAACTGGCACCGTCACTCTGAAGGAATTCAGTTGAAAATACTCACCTGATCCTATACTTACACAGACTCCTAAAAAAAAAAAAAGGGGGAGGGAAGGGCTGGGAACTGGAATCCGCAAAGATCAGCTTAAATAACAGATCCGCAAAGATCAGCTCAAAAATGCCAGCAAGAGATGCAACGTAAGTCACAAGATAAGCAAAAGGACCCTGCAGTCACCCCACAGATCACGTACGCTTGAGGATGAGACCGCTGACCACATTGGCTTGCAATTTAACTTTGCCTAAATTGCATTTAGCCACATCTGTATCAACAAGAATAATGTTCAATAAAGAACTTTCTGCTAAAAGCCTTTTCAATTAAGTTTTTGTTCATTCACTTCGTTTCAATTGAAAATACGGGTAGGTAGAAGGTAGATCATTGCAGAGTCATCGCAATTGCAGACATCCGTGCGAGGCGGTGCTGTATTTCCTTGGGTAGTTAAATATGGTAGTACTTGCAAAAAAACCTTCCAATCATCCTCGGTGAGAAAATTGAATTTTCTGTTATAGATCTATGCTGTTATTGGCAAAAAGAGATATATACGTCCAGTTGATTCATATCCCATCGACGTTTCTTACATGACCGGATTTGACAAGTCAAACAAGAGTTTAACACTGATGGAGTCACTCTGAGTGTTAAGGCTAGGCCTCAGTTCTTTGATGAATAGCATCTCGTGGCATTTCCCGTGGCATTTCTTGAGAACGCGAAATTGAGAGGATTTTTGTCACCGTGCGCTTCTAAAAAATATTTACCGATAGCTGAATACTTTTGTTCGGCAATGCATTGATGAAGGTGTCGAGCTGTGTAGCAAAGATAATCTGCAGCTTGACTTTTAACATGTCTTGATGTTACTTTTCTTTTAATGAACTATTGTTTTTCTTGTATTTATAGAGCATTCATATTGTATTTCTTTTCACTTGATAATGACGTTCGGTAACGTCGAAACGTCGTGTATTTTTTAACTTCTTAAAAATTTCTTAAATGTTTTTAAGAAAAGGTTTTCGTATTTTTTAATAGCTATAGTGTTTAGTGTTTCAGTAAACTGGAGAGGGCTGATCAAACGCTCAAGGAGCAGAGAGAAATGACAGAACGGAAAACTCACGTGGACAGAGTGAAAAGGTGCCATAAAGCTCGCCGACTTCGAGCAGTCCTGCCAGGAAGAAGTCCACATTTAACTCTCGTCCAAGTGTTCCGCCGAGATCTTTGTTGAGACAAAAAAAAATGTGTTACCGCTAAAACTTCAAGTGAATTACTTCTTCCATCGAGGTGAGAAAAATTGATATCGCTGTGAACAAACTTATAAGCTTACGGCTATGAATAATTTCCAAGTTTTTCCGCGGCGAATTGAGCGGCAATAATATTTGTGTTTGCAAGTTTTGCATGATCTTTGAGCTCTTTTATGTGTGAATCAATTAAGGCGGTCAACGGGCAAACAAGAACTACGACGGCCGCTTTGGGATAGTTGAAGCCTCGATCGTGCAAATATGCACATACTCTCGGAAAGATTTGAAAGACCAAAGACTTCCTGTTGGAAGCACCGCAAACACATCTTTTCGCTTGATGAAGTGGAGCAAGGCTTCTTCCTGGACAGTTTTCAACTCAAGAATATTGGAAACCACCATCCAACGCAAATTGTACTGCACCTCAAAGGCTCGCTCGAATTCGCTGCCATCGTTCGCCTTTTTCTTTTTTTTGAAGTTTCTTCGAGCCAAAAAATCGGTTTTAGGGCTCCTGGGGAGCATTCCAGAGATTCGGCCGATGAGAGTTCCTGTTAGATCATTATCACTCGGAAAGGTCTGGGACTAAATTCGAACACCAATCAGCGACCGAGTTCAAAATCTGTACTCATGGAAGTGAGGTTCATAACTGCCGTGACCAGAGGTTTTTTTTCCCGCTCGTCACGATCGCGGATTCGCCGCTCAATTTTCGCCCCAAACAACAGGAAAAAAAGCCTCTGGTACCCAGAGTAGCCAAATGTGCGCCAGATTTGCAAAAAATTAAGATGTTTTCCAAAAAGGCAACTGAACTTTGGCTAGCAAAGTTAAGAGTTTGTCGGTAGCATAAACGACAACTCTTTTATATACAGATTTTTTTTCGGCGAAGATGAAGAAATCTCGAGTGTGGCTAAAGTGTAAACAGACGCATACAACTTAAAAACACCTTAAGTCTTAACAGATCCTTAACTGAAACGGGGTAAGAAATAAAACAGCGTTTATGACATCTGTCTAAAGAGCTCTGTATAATATTGAGATCAGGTTCAGAAGCTCCATATACGGGTAAACCATAGATAAAATTAGGCAAAACTAAGGAAGTGAACAAGTGATCTATTTCAGCTGTGAATATTGCTCTTTTCTAAGGGTCCTTAGAACATGGAGAAATTTGTTTGCTTTAATTAATTTGAGATTAACATGCGCCCAAAACTTACAATCACTCTGGATCTTAACCCCCAAAGCCCGGTTCCTAGAAAGATGGCTAAGTTTAACCCAGGATTAAGAGAAAGTTTAAGCACGGATTTCTTGCTAAGAGCATGTAACTCAAGCTTACAAAACTATTACTGTTGAGCCTTTACTCTGAGACACAGTAATGATTTACTGACAAAAAATGTTTCTATGAGCAATGCATACTGAGGTAAATGCAAAAAGTGGAACAAAATTTTAATCCTGGATTAGCACTAATCGGCCTTTCAGCAACCGGGCGTTGCAGTAGAACAAGACTACAGCATTGAGGAATGTCAAATACCGAGTTACATTGAGAACTGATGCCTTTACTTCCAAAGACAAGACGCTACGGAGCGTAAACTTCGGCGTCGTGATTGTGGTTTAATTGTGAATTTGGAGGAATAGTAAGAAATGATATTTTTCCGGATACCCTCCCACACAAATACCATTACTTTTCTTCTTTTGTGTTACAAACGTCTTAACTTTTTGACCGGAAGCAAGTTTGCTAGGTGCATGACCGCGTGCCTGTAATCCAATTCGATTATAGTTTCAAGCAACTTCGGGACCACCGGATGCAACTTTGAAACATTCCTGCGCTGCGCGAATCCTTTACTTCGCGCTCCGCTGAAGTAATAAGTTCTTTACACTTTTTCAGATTGTAACCATATGTCACGGTTCTCTTTAGACCATGTCCCACAAGATTAGCTGACGGATCACATTGATTACTAACAGGAGACACTATTCTAGAGTCATCACCATATTTAAATGGAGCAGGAGCATTGTTATAAGAAATTTCTAGGTCATTCAAAAATATGTTAAATAGATAAGGCCCACTTGCGCTTCCTTGGGTGGTTCCCTTGTCAACGACCTTCCAGTTACAGAGGTGATTATTATAAAAGATTTGCTGTTGCCTAGCAAACAGGAAGCTATGGTTCCAATTAACGATGTAAGGATTGAAGGGAAGCTGCTCTAAAAAAAGAGCTAGAAAAAGTACTTCGCGGGGGGGTTTCGGGTCTGAAAATTTCATTTGCTGCTAACTAACTAAAATGAGTAAATTTAACTTGACACCTTATTAGGAAATGACCAGCCTAGAAATGTAATAATGTAATATATATTCGTACAAACTTTGGTGCTTGTATCTAAAAACGCATATTTCTGAAGCTAAGCCGCCGGACTAGAACACATCGGGAACCGTTCAGGTGGGATAATAAAGGCAACTCTGTACCTTAATGGCAGCTTTCTCCGCGGTAGCAATCAATGTTGGATGACGAACTGAAAAAAACTTGGAAATTCACTGAAACCTGCTCTATTTCAAAACAAAGAACTCTAAAATTATAAGTAGTAAAAGCATTCACCAGTTCTTATTGCTGATGAAATAAAAAATTGAGAAGGTTGAATTATTTTTTCCTTTTAGAACACATGATGAAATGACAAAAACGGCCTTCCTTAATTAGAGCAGTCTAAATTAGCTACAAGGAGAAGAGAAACCCGAAAACTTTCATTTTCTAATAGACATCTCTACTCGCGTCAAACAATTTTGGCCGTAAATGACCATTTTTGCAATTTCGCTAGTTGTTAATTGCGGATATTTCGTTTTCCTCTCAGTTCTTTCTAACTACAGCATTGGATATGCAATAAAATTTTAAAAAATTAAGCGATCATAGACGCTCAGTAAAATTGTTTTTAACTCAAACAAACCCTCAGGGATTAGAGAATTTCAAACCTTTGTGTGTTAGCAAGGTCATGACTTTTATTTTCGTTTAAACTGCGTGTGACATTTTGCTATTTTGGGAATCCCAAGCTTACATTTCCATTTATAACTTCGAGCGATAAATGGAAATAAATACAACCATCGTGGAGCACAAATTCAAATTATCTTGCAGTCGCCTGTTAAAGTAGAAAAGCCAAGCTAAACGTTCAACGGTTCAAGTCAAAGAAAACCTTCCAAGATGTCGTAACCAGTAATGGAAATTGTCAGAGAAACAAAAGAGGTATGAAAGAATTACAGCAAATGAGTGAGCTTACTTCCTCTCCACCTGCTTCACGTTGAGTATTAGGCATTAGTCGAGGGTCTCAATTGGGATGGTACCTTTGAAGGCTCACGGTTACTTTTTTCCAACTTTGACAGTTGACGGTTGAATTTTAGGGCTTTTGACGTTTGTCGGTGTTTTTATGTGGAAATCTAGTCCAAGAATTTAAATAAATAGTTCTGCATAAATTAGTATCAACTGTCGTGTTTTAGAGGTTGTCTTGGCCTTTCACTCATATTATGTCCTAGTATTTTCAGTTGCAAGGTCTTGTAATGTATGAAGAGAGCGTTTTTAAAAAAATAGTGGAGAAGTAGCTTTTCTAGTTTAGAGATTCTTCACATCTGTCAGCTGAAATAGTGAGATTTGAAATACCTTGGAAATTTAATATTTATCTGCAATTTTGACAGCTGACATCCAAAGCGGAGGGGAAAAAAATTTAGAAATATGAAAACAGTCACCATGCTTTGTATTTTGTATTTCGATACGTTATCTTTCTCTTCTCAACAGATGGAACTCACCTGGGTGGAGAGCATGCAATGTAAAGTCATAGTGGCGAATGTTCGACAATACGCGGGAGGAGCTTATTTAAAAGCCGTTACAAAGAAGGGTCATGAACGGGAAGCAAGGATAACTGTGGAATTTTACGGGAAACACTTATGAACAAACAACAGGTATTTTGAAAATATGGACACGTGAGTAAGATTAAATGCACGCGTTTTTTTTCTGTGCATATTTAGTGACTCAGAGGCAAAGGGGCGTTTTGAAAGTAACAGCTTCATTTGTTTTGACCAACTTTGTCAACTCAGTTCATTGGAAAAAGATGATGCAAACGACTGTGTAGGAGAATTAAAACATTTTGTCACAGGAATCTTCTCTTCATTATTGGCTCCTTTTCTTCAGACGGGATTGGGTATCCATTCTGTATGGGAAAATTTGATCCAGTTCTGGGCAATTCAGCAAAGTGCTAGCAATCACTACGCTAGCTCTCAATGTTTTTGTATCAGAAATCAAACGAGTGTGCGAAGCGAACGAGTGAGATTTCTGACGTGCGTAAGTATCTTTCGCTCGATCTTTCCATGACTGGTCATGACTGAAGTATAATCCTATATTTATGTATCAGATATAACTACCAGCCGGTGATCAAAATACAAACTGTTGTATACCTAGAATCCAAATATTCATTACGTATTTCAGAATTCTATATTGGGCAGCATGACATGCCAGGATACAACACCTTCTCGTTCTATATAGAGGGCCAACAATACTTCCTGTGTGCAGAGAATAACGAAGTGTTTCTGATGGTAAGTAACAATACGAGTTCAGTAGAATGGCTGAATGAAATACAAAGTTAACTGAATTTCAAGGTGGAAGCTCATCTGACGCAGATCCCAACTGGTTATATGGCAAATGATCGACTCTTCTGTAAACCTTGCATTAGCTTAAAACCGAAAAAAGTTCCCCTACAAAAATGGAGTATTCCTCTTTTAACCCAGCTCTGTAGGGTTGCTAAATAGAATTTTTAAGAGTAGAGTTAAAAAGGCCCCTTTGCTACTTAAAAAGACTGTGTTTTTCTGCGCTAAAAATAGTTAGAGCGTCCCGTTCGAAAATTTTCCGCCATGATCTCAACTATGAAGGGCAAAGTAGCAAAGGGGCCTTTTTAACTCTACTCTTTAAAATTCTATCTAGCAACCCTAGAGAGCTGGGTTAAAAGAGGAATACTCCCTTTTTGTGGGGAAACTTTTTTCGGTTTTAACCTAATGCAAGGTTTACAGAAGAGTCGATCATTTGCCATATAACCAGTTGGGATCTGCGTCAGATGAGCTTCCACCTTGAAATTCAGTTAACTTTGTATTCCAGTCAGCCATAGGGTTCACACAGTCTAACGCCATTGACTCACAAAGCCTTTCTTTTACATCGATACGTAATTATATGACACAGTAACGTCATTTTATCATTTTTTTTCTTTCTCTTTTTAATATAGAGTTCCTCTGATAGCGAGCCCACTAATGCCAGGTTCTTGTTTCACGTTGAAAAAGCCAGTAACGTTTTCTACAACATAAAGTCGGCTGTAAATCCAGAAATGTTTCTGGTCAGTGATGAGTCAGGCAAGGCAACCATGAGGCGGAAAAAGGGCCGTACAGCCTATGACAGACAAGCCTGGTTTCGATTTTTACCAGACGGTGACATGGTAACGACTCCAGTTGGTGCAGAAACCATCTTTGAAGCCAGAACGTTCGAAATCCAGGAGGCTGTTTCTTGTAATTAAACAGGAAAATGAATAGTCTTTAACAAGATCCTGAAGTAAATGTTTAGCAATAAGCAACGCTGCAAGCAGATGTTATTTTTCCAGATAGGTTAAAACATAACGCTAAAAAATTAAACTCGCTCAGCCTTGGGGACTAGCTAAAAAAAGGGCGGGGGAGCAACAAATGATGTACTGCGGAATAGAAAGATTGATAAGCAGACATAGGCAAACTTTTGAAGTTATCAAAAATGAGTCAATATCTTTTGATAAGGTCTCAAGATCAAATCGTTTTTAATTATATATAGAGCTTGTAAATAGATCTAAGAACGTAAACTGTAAAGATACTTTTTAATGTTCAGCATTTTCTTTTCTGGAGTGGTTAAAAAATTTTTTTTATTATAGAAAGGTAAAAAGACTGAATCACCGAGCGCATGAATATTTTTTAAGATGGCCAAGAAGCTAAGGCATAATCCTATATGCCATAGTGTCTGTTGTTTTCTCTTGCTGTATCTTGATAAACCTTTAAGCTGCTGAGATTTATACATCTTTCTTTATAAGGAGCATCATGTTCATAAAATTGTATAATGACGAGTATTTAAGAGCAAACATTCTTTTCTCAGTGACATTAATAACAGGAAATATTTATTCTATAAGTTCATGGTCAGTTTCAAGGTTCCTTAACCATTTCCAGTTTGGTACAAAAACAAGTGCATAATGTTGTACTCAAAGAGTATTGCACATTAATTTGCACATTAATTAGCTTGCGAGCGGGCGGAATCCTCCAAATCCTACATTCTGATTGTTTTCGAGAGCGGGCGGTTTTTTACGATCTTGCCCGCTTGGCAGCTTTATTCACGAGTTTGTTTGTTGTTTGTGAATGAGCAAAACCGGTGATTTTTCAACGTTTTTCTTTTAAAACTTGCGCTATTATGAGCATTAGCCAGGGAAAAGTGAATTTTGTTATTCAGACAAAACATCTGAAAGGAGAATCAAGCAAGTGAGCCAGGAAAACCGCTCAAGTAAAACAAAACGGGCGGCTCGTAATGTCGCTTCACTAGCTTTTTAACCTACGCTGTAAGTACTACAATCTTGCTCTTGTGCATCGTTTATTCGACATTTTTCCTCTGTTTGTAGGTATGTTTTCCATTTTTGCTGCCTGAATGTAGATTCTGCTGTTTTTCCTTGAATTTGCCTCGCTAGTTTCTACTTTTCAGAAAAGGTTGTTGTCAACGATTACATGTAGCTTTCAATCTTGAATAAACAACACGAACAACTTTTCCACCAGTCAGTTATCGCCGTTTTTATTTCTTTGTTTATATAATTGTTTAGTTACCCATATCGCCTTCTTTTATTCGAATTCACTTCAAAACCCTAAGATTGGTATGTGTAATTAGCTCTTTTTATAAAGCAATAGACGATATTCGTATTCCCGACGGCCCTGGCACGAGAGACTTCACAGCATGATTGCGAGGCCAAAGCGGGGAACTTTTCAGGGGCACCCAACGACAATTTTCGGAAAATATCTGTTCGGAAGACGATTTGAGATCTAGAATTTTCGGAACATTAGTTGTAACATTTCTTGCTTGCCTGCCCTCTCCTAGGATTTTCGAACATCTAAAAAATGGTATAATTGCCCATTTTTAACGGATTTTTACCGTTTTAAGGTCACCTAGAATTTTCGAGAGCCTTTTTTCTGGTTGAAATTTTCGAAAAGGTAAGTTTTGATCCCTATAATTTTCGGATCACTAGACTTTCAGCTAGGAAATCCGAACAGATCAAAAATTTGTAGGGAATAAAAATATGCCTATATCTACCGTTTAAATACTAAAATACGGTTAACAATTCTATGCTTAAGTGGTTTTGAAGTATATTCTCGTTGGGTGCCCCTGACTTTTTAGCAAAAACACAAACAAACATTGGTTAAACGCGGCTGAATCGCTGCAAAACGATAGAAATCAGCAAAAGACTGCAAGATTTAAAAGCTGAAACCTTACGGGTAAGCTAAAGGGATATCTGTTTCAAAAAACAAAACTGTGGGAAGAGCTGGTCGCGACTAACAGCAAAAGTTAAAAAGCCACGAAGCCAAAAGAAGAAAGTAATCAAGAAAATGGTATATTGTGTCAAAATGTTAACACTCGAATCCTTATAAAATTTTATTGTTCTTCTTATTCTTTTTCTGTTGTGTGTATCTGTAGTGTGGAGTTTAAACTGCTCAGTATTATCGTCTGTAGCAAACTCTGTGTTCAACTGCGTGCACGCTTTTGTACTCTCACACAGTTGTTATCGAAGATAATGTAACTTAAATTTAAAAATAAACTTTGCCTAGTCATCTTTGTTCAAACCGGTTTAACTTCCTTAAAATGCACATGGACTGTGTGCAGAACGCTAAGCACCGTCCTGATAAGTAATTATCCACTGAATGAGTCGTTTGCTTTACTTCAAATACACATTCAAGATTTCGCACCCGCTCTGTTATAAAATTTCAACTGCAAAGTAGGTGTGATAACATCACCGTTAACTTTACCGCGGGCTTTCGATAATTACGTCCATTTCAATAAAAGATATTCTTCAAAAAGTTTAAAGGACACTGAAAATTACGATTAAAATGGCTTCGGGGATTTTAAGAACATCTCTGTTTATATTAAATTATAAACTCGATCGCTCACCAAGCACTCTTCTTCTCATCAATATAATAATGGTTAGGATCGCTGTTTTTCTTAGTAATAATGAGCAGATCTTCCTTTTGTTGTTTGAAATAATGATCTCTCAAGTATGTAAGCCCTTCGGAACTTTAATTTACAGTGCTTAAAAATGTATTTTCCGCTGTTATTCCAAGTAATTAGTCGCAGTTGTTCTCGTTTCACACCTGCCGCACCCACTATTGTGCATTCTGTTTTGCATTGATGTCCTGATTGGCCAGTTATTAGTATTTATACTCTACGTTGTCTCTTGAGTACCATTCACGCTCGGGGTTCCATACAGTTTATTCATCTTTCTGGTTTGTGTTTTTCCTATTCGTGTGATGCCCAACGATCAAAAAGAGAGCGAAGGTTCGTCCGTGCGGGCTGAAGTTGGCCAAACTTCAGGTGATAGTGGAGGCAACTCAGCAGCCGTTGATCAAGTCTTTTCCATGTTTAAGGATTTTCTTGAGAAAAAATTAGAAGATAAAGGAAAGCAAATCGAACAAAGGAGTAAGTTAGATAAAGAAGTTGTACAGCTAAAGTTCAAAGGTAACCAGAAACAATTTGAGCTTAATGCCGAATTAAATGCCATTTTTGAAAGCATTGAAACTGAAAGTGAAAGCATCGAGCCAAATTTGTCGCAGATCAAGAAACTTTCCCAAGAAGGCAGGCAACGTATTCGAAAGCGACAGAAGCTGATAAAAATCGCTGATAAAAGTAGGGACGGCTGGCAGGTTGTAGCCGAGTACGAGTCGGACGAGCTTGCATCCGGCTCCGAAGATGAAAAGCGTCTTAAGAAGGCAAGAGAAGCGGCGAGCCGCAAGAGACGTCAAAAGGAACAACTCTCCAGCGATCGTGGAAAGAAACCAAGAATTGCTATGGGCGCTGATAATCAGCTTTTTCGTGGTAAGAAAAAGGAGCCTCCTCTTTACTTTGTATATTCATATGTGTTTTGGATCTGCTTGCGCATCCTACCATATTTCTCGTGTGATTTGTTTGAATTAAGGGAATTTAAGGGTAAAATGATTTACGTTCGTTTGAGCGAAGCGAATTAGAACGTAAATGTATTTTCCGCTGTTATTCCAAGTAATTAGTCGCAGTTGTTCTCGTTTCACACCTGCCGCACCCACTATTGTGCATTCTGTTTTGCATTGATGTCCTGATTGGCCAGTTATTAGTATTTATACTCTACGTTGTCTCTTGAGTACCATTCACCCTCGCGGTTCCATACAGTTTATTCATCTTTCTGGTTTACGCCCCCCCCCCCCGTTTATTACAGGTTTCGTCATTGCTGTTATCTTTCAGGCCGTAGAGACGCTTCTGGCGACTTCTTTCGCTGTTTCAAATGCGGCAAATTTGGACACTGGGCCAAGGACTGTAGATCCATGTTCTGACCGGGAAGTTACCAGTCTCCTAGCTACAATTCTTGCCCTGGAATCTCCTACAACAAGCCAACCGCAGGCCAATCAACTCAACCAAAGCAATGAAGATGACTTGGCGCAGGTAGATCAAATTACACAGAATTACGAACTTGAAAGTGGACATTCATTAAGTGTTAAGGGTAATCTGAAGAATAATTTAGGTTTCTGGAGATCTATAGGTGCTCCGGATTTTATTTTGTCTATTATTGAATACGGCTACAGGCTGCCGTTCATCAGTTTTCCGTTGGCCGTAAAACTAGGAAATAATAAGTCAGCTCGACTTCATGCTGATTTCGTGGACCAAGCCGTTCTTGAGCTTGTTAACTCTGGTCGGGTGCGTATCGTTAATTAGCAGCCCTTTGTTGTAAATCCCTTGTCAGTTTCTATACAGCCATGCGGTAAAAAGAGGTTAATTCTTGATTTGCGCCATGTCAATAAGTCATTAATTAAGCAAAGTGTTAAGTACGAGGACTGGAAAATTGCTATGGCTTATTTTGCGAAAGACGCGCACATGTTTTCCTTTGTTTTAAAAAGCGGTTATCACCATATCGACATTGCGCATGAGTACCAAACTTTTCTGGGGTTTTCATGGCGGTCGTCTGATTCCGTTAATGAAGTATTTTATGTTTTCACTGTGCTCCCGTTCGGTCTTTCCTCTGCCCCTTATGTTTTCACAAAGGTTTTGAAGCCTTTAGAAAAGTATTGGAGAATACAGGGTCTTTGTATAGCCATCTTCTTGGACGATGATTAGGCGATTGTTCAGGATAGAGAAAGTTGTCGCATTAAGGCCCTAGCTGTAAGGGGGGATTTGTATAACGCGGGTTTTGTCGTTAACGAAGACAAATCGGTATGGGAACCCACCCAAGTATTGGACTGGTTGGGTATAACCTGGAATTCTGCACTGGGTACTTTAAAAATTGTAGAGAAAAGAATTCTTAAGATTATCAGTACAATTGATCATATTATTAAAGCCGATTTCAAAGTGTCTGCGCGAGAGTTGGCCTCCTTCACAGGTCAAATTATTTCTACCGGGCCTGTAGTTGGTAACATTGGCAGGATAATGACCAGACATTGAGTCTTGTCCACCTTGTGCAAAGATAACTGGGATTCTGTATTCCGTCTCGACGATTACTGTAAGGAAGAACTGTATTTTTGGAAGGAAAATATGGTTAATATCAACTCTAGGTATTGCTTTGTAAGTAAAGATCCTAGTTATTTTGTATGTTCGGATGCCAGTGCTACCGGAGGTGGAGCAATTATTGACTTTTACAATGATTTTGTGTGCCACAAAATGTGGTCGGAGAACGAGAGAGTTCAAAGTTTAACGTGGAGGGAGTTGTCTGTTATTGAGTTTTCATTGCAATCATTTGCCTCAGTGTTGAAAGGATCACACGTTAAGTGGTTTACTGATAGCCAAGCAGCTGCTAAGATTGTTGAAGTGGGCAGCATGAAATTAGGTTTGCATAAGATGGCCCGAAGGATTTTTGATATTTGTATTCGATCGGGGATTCATTTAGAAGTGCAATGGATCCCTCGCACTTCGAATCAGCAAGCTGATTATTTAAGTCGTTTAATTGATACTGATGATTGGCAAATTACTGAAGAATTTTTTCTTTTTCTTGATGGTCGGTGGGGCCCGCATAGTGTTGATTGTTTTGCTAATTATTATAATCACAAGCTCCCCAAATATTTTTCGAGGTTTTGGAACCCCAATACTTCGGGTGTTGATTTTTTCTTTCAGTCTCTTCGAGGAGAAAATTGCCTAGTAGTCCCTCCAGTTGGTATCGTCCCTCGTGTATTGCATTATTTGAAATCTCAGCGGGCCGTTGGTACGCTCGTTGTACCTCTTTGGCCTTCGGCTCACTTTTGGCCTTTAATTACACACAAGTATAGTAGTTATCTTGTGGCTCACAGTATTCATATCGGGAATGAGGTTCTAACCCGCGGAAGAAACCTTAATTCGCTCTTAGGGTCTGATCTTTTCACAGGAAATATTATTGCCTTTAGATTGAAATTTACTGAGTAATTTATTGGATGGTGTATTCATTAGCCTAATGATTATTCACATTTGGTGGCGCCGGCCAAAGCAATATGTTGTTTATCTATGTGGCACTGGCCTAATTTATAGTTTGTCATTTCATGTGGCGCTGTCTTTAACAGCGTATAGTTGATTTATGTGGCGCTGGCCCAATCAATGGTTGTTGATTTACGGGACACTGGTCAATTCAATAGTCTATCGTCTTATGTGGCACTGGCCCCAACATTGATCGATTTTTATACGGCACTTTTTTGTTCCTTTATTATATATGTTTGTTCTTGTCTTTCCAGGTAATCTTATCAAGTAATTCCTGGAAAGGCTTTCAACAATTTTCTTCAATCAACGTTTATGAGGTTTTAGAAGTTATGTTGAAGTCCAGGGGGGATACAACTACTAAAGCCTACGTTCGCGTTATTAGAAAGTTCTTGGAGTGGTCTAAAGGTAGACATTTCAACATGCAGTTACCTTTTCCCCTTAGTGTCGTTTCCCTATACTGTTATTTGAAGTTCAGCAGTCTTGCACCTCTAGTTCCTCAGTAATTTTAGCCCATGCTGCCCTTAAATGGTTACATTCTTTTGTCCCTAGTTTGGATCGTAATCCTTTGGATAGTGAATTTTGCAGGAATATTATCGAATCTGCTAAACGCCAGAAATCACAGCCAGTAATGAAAAAGAAGCCTATTACTACAGAAATCATAAGGAGTATTTTAGATATTCATAACAAGAAAGATGCTAATTTGAAGAATCTTCGTATCGCTGCGTTATGCTCTTTAGCTTTTGCAGGATTTTTTCGTTACGACGAATTATGCAATATTGTTCCTAAGCATATCGAATTTCACAGCGATTATATAAGAATCTTTGTACCTCGTAGTAAGACAGATGTTTATAGGGAAGGGAATTTCGTCTTTATTAGTGCATCCAGGTCTAAGTACTGTCCTGTTGGTGTTTTACAACGGTATTTAGATTTATCTGGTATTGACTTATGTAGTTCTCTCCCTTTATTTAGACCGCTTGTTTTTCACCGTAGTAGTTCTAGCTATACTCTGAGAAGTGGAGAGATTTCTTATACTACTTGTAGAGATATCTTAAGGGATACCTTAAGTCAGCTGGGCCTCAACCCTAATGATTATGGTCTTCATAGTTTAAGATCCGGTGGTGTTACTTCTGCGGTGCGTAATAGTAGTAACTCGATTCCAGAAAGACTTCTTAAAATACATGGTAGATGGAAATCTGATTCTGCCAAGGATATGTATGTTGAAGAAAGCCTTGAAAACAGGTTACAAGTAACTAAGTATTTAGGTTTGTAATGCATTATCGAGCTTATATTAATTTCTCTAAACAGTAGTGTGTAAAAAAAAAAAAAAAATTGTAAAACAACAACAACAACTTTGTAATTTCTTTTTTCTGCAGTCCGCTCTGTATTAGTAACTATCTATCTTATAATAAACTGTTTTGGATCTGCTTGCGCATCCTACCATATTTCTCGTGAGATTTGTTTGTATTACGGGAATTTAAGGGTAAAATGATTTACGTTCGTTTGAGCGAAGCGAATTAGAACGTAATCTTCCTTAAAGTCGGCAAACTCCTGAAGCTCAGCCGCAGTTTTTGCGTATTTGTTTGTCCTCTTGGCGAGAAGGTCCCAGAATGAGCCTTCGCATGGCGCCTCGCATTCATGATCAAGGCCCACTCCTCCCAGGACTGTCTGAGAATACGAATTCTGTCTTAAAGTAAACATTCAGCCGAAGAAAATCTTTGCTGTATTTTCTTTCCTGTGGCCTTTAAGTTCGTCAATTCTTTTATCCTTGTTTGACACTCAGATTATGAATTGTCTATACCAAGACACAAAAACCTTTTTTATTCTAAAGAGAGCTTAATTGTGATAATATAAATTACAAGTTAAAAATCATGTTGCAATATTTTGTTTTGGTTTGCAATCGATCGCGCGCAAAGGCAACTCTGTACCTTAATGGCAGCTTTCTCCGCGGTAGCTATCAATGTTGCATGAAAATGCTGTATTTCGAAACAAAGAACTTTAACAAGTAGTAAAAACATTCAGGAGTTCTTGTACCTTATGAACTAAAAAATTGAAAAGGTTGAATCTTTTTTTTTTCTTTTAGAATACATGATGATAATAGTAGCTTATAGAAAACTGTACACCAAACCAGAAATGACAACAACCGGCTTCCATAATAAGAATAATCTTCAGCTACAAGGAGATTAAGAAGAGAAGTCAACCCGAAAAATTTCATTTTCTGATAGACATTTCTACTCGCCTCAAACAGCTTTGGCCGTAAATGACCGCTTTTGCAATTTTTGCTAGTTGTTAATTGCGCATATTTCGTTTTCCTCTCGCAGTTCTTTCTAACTACACCATTGGGTATATAATAAAAGGCAAAATAAATTAAGGTTTTTTAACAAGTGATCAGAGACGCTCATTGGTTTTAACTCAAATCAATTGTGCAAAGATTAGAGAATTTGAAATCTTTGCGTACTAGCAAGGCCGTGACTTTCATTTTTGTTTAAACTGCATGTGACCTGTTACTATTTTGGGAATCCCAGGCTTACATTTCCATTTATAACTTCCGGTGATAAATGGAAATAAATACAACCATCGTGGAGCACAAATTCAAATTCATCTTGCGGTGGCCTGTTAAAGTAGAAAAGCCAAGCTAAACGTTCAACGGTTCAAGTCAAAGAAAACCTGCCACAAAGATGTCGTCACCAGTAATGGAAGTTGTCAGAGAAACAAAAGAGGTATGAAAGAATTATAACAAATGGGTGAGCTTAATTTCCCCCCCCCCCAACCTGCTTCATGTTGAGTAACAATCACTAGGTATTAGACGAGGGTCGCAATAGGGGTGGTACCTTTGCCGGCTGACCCCATTAATTTTTTCCAGTTTTGACGATTGACGGTTGAATTTTAGAGCTTTTGACGTTTGTCGGTTATTCTGTGGAAATCTACTCCAAATTGTGCATAAATCAATATCAACTGTCGTATGTTAGAGGTTTGTTTGGCCTTTCACCCTTAC